GTTTATGCTCAAACAGCAACATTATACACTAAATAACGTTAAAAAAAGTGACATCGCAATCAACCACCCCTTTAAAAAAAATCCATGTGTCGCCAAATGGGACTCTGGGGAAAGAAATACTAATAGACATTACAGGTATACCTTTCATGGTGAATTTCCCATAAATAAAAGCTGAAGATACACAAGCCACAGCAGATGTTTCCTTTAGTGAGCATCAGACTGAATGTTCAAATTATTTATGGTTTTAGTATTTTTAAATTTTTTTTTGCTTGTAGACTAAGCTTCAAAAGTGTTTTTTTAAGTGTTATTGATAGAAGTATTTTATGCTTACCAAGGCTGTATTTATTTGATCATAAATACAGTAAAAACAGTAATATCGTGAAATATTATTACAATTTAAATGAACAATTTTCTATTGTAATGTATTCTAAAATCCTGAATTTTCAGCATCATTACTCCACTCTTCAGTGTCACACGATCCTTCAGAAATTATTATAATGTGCTGATTTGATGCTCAAGAAACATTTATTATTATTATCAATGTTAAAAACAATATTGTGCTGCTTAATATTTTATGGAAACTGTGATGCATTTTTTTCAGGATTCTTTGATGCACAAAGAACAGCATTTATTTGAAATAAATCTAATTTAGAAAAAAAAATACATAATATGTTATTTACTGTCACCTTTGAGTAGTCCTAATGACTGCGAAAAACAACCACACACCGGCTCTGTGAAAGACTCCTGAAGATGACAAACCACTGGAGTATGGTAGGTTCATTTTCATTTTTGACACTTTTATCGCTTGATACGTTGTATGCTGATGTTATTTGAGTGATTAAAAAAAAAGCTTAATGAAATGTTTTTGATATTCTTTTAAGTACTTATAAATTATAAGTAAAATAAAAAATTCTAAAAGTAATACAGCACTTGATGTCCTCCTATATACCGTATAATAATGTGACGTCTGAAGGGCTTGCAGGCACGCCACTGCTGTGCTTAACAAAGGCCATCAGCCCATTCGAGCAGGAAGTTGATTTATTTAGCACGGGTTTTTACATGACTTGACCACATACTGTATGTAAAGTCAGCATGGGGAATCCCCACTGAACCCATGTGCACACTTACCGACTTCACAAGTAAAAAACAAACGGCAGCAGATACATTAGACTTCAGGCAAGTGTAAGTGGTTTGTTTAGTGGTCAGGGGTGTTACACAACATTCTGGCATTGCGCTTAACTTGGCACTACTGCTCTTTTTACACCCATGAGGTGAGTGGGCACAGTTTTTAATGCCCAGTCTTACTATCTATAGGTTGTGGCATCCACCGTGCACGGGCTTTAAACACACACACACACACACACACACACACTAGTGAATATGATATCACCCTCTTGGCTGAGTTAGTATTAGAGATGCACATATATCTAGAGCTGATTCTGGTGTTCTTGTGCAGTAGATGGTTATTGTAAATCTTCATTGTAGTATCTTTTTTATGTCAAAATACTTTCGTTATGTGCAGAGACAACTATAAGTATACTTACAAGCCAGTTGTAGTGTGATTTCCTAAAATAATCAACACTGACTCAGTCAAGGGGGTGGGACTGAACAAGGTGAATCTCATTAACACCGTCAAGAAATGTCATGGTTATACTTCACCCTAAAATCAAGTAAGGAATAATTGACGACGGGCGTGCATTACACCTCGGGTGTGCTTTATTTTATAATAATTTAACGGACCGGAGTCAATTATTCCGTTTATACTATGGTTCCCACACCTAGAGACATTGTTCAGATGATGTATTTCAAGACATTCGTCCGGTTTTGTCCTTAAAAGACTTATTTCTTACGCATCTCATCCAGCACCTCGGTTGCTAATTCCAAATTGTCATTTTAGACCTAGTAACGGTGGCTTGAGCCATTGCTAGTAATGCAGTTATTAATGCAGTTATGGGAGAGAGAGATTAAGCGTGCGTGAATTAGCTGAGTCTGTGTGTCTCTCAACACTGTTCGGCAGCAGCGAGTCTACTAATAGCGAAACACATCTGCTTCAAGAACAGCGGCGTTATTACCTCGCTTAATGACAAAAGACATGTAGCTTTTAAGTTGCTAAACTATTTTACTGATAAAATCATCAGAGCAGCACTGACAACATGTTTCTGTGCGTGTGTATGTTTCTGTGTGTGTGTGTGTGTGTGTGTGTGTGTGTCTGTCTCTGTGTGTGTGTGTGTGTGTGTCTGTCTCTGTGTGTGTGTGTGTGTCAGTACTGTATGAGTGTGCGTTTGTAAGGGAGAGAGAGTGGGATAGATAGAGTATGTGCTTCCTGTACATAATAAAACATAATTTTGTGGCAAAAACATGGAGATAATTTGTCGTTTTTATCCTATTGTTTACTATATTTATTAGCTTGGTCAGTGTCGCTGTGGGTTTTTGGTTCTTTTGCTGTTGTAGGCTGTAAGGACCTTTGAAATAACTGAAATCATTTGGCAAAGTGATATGGACATGTAATGCGGTCAAGACCTGCCTAGAACTACTTTAGCTGTGAATTTCCCTGAAAATAATCGCACACCTTAGAATGTTCATCAGCCAATCAGATTCAAGCATTCAACAGCCCCGTACTATAAGAAATAATCTGCATAAAGAAAATGAAGACTGTCTCGAAGACCATTATGTAAATTCTTAGTTGTCTACTGTAAATTGAGAAAATATCATTCTGATTAGTATAATGGGAAAAAAGTGTATTATTAAATTATTATTACACTACATATTTAACAGTAAAGTACATCTGTAAATAGTATTTTTGTATGTTTTTAGTATTTGTTATTAATGCAAATTTGTTTTCACAAAGAGAATGAGATTTTTATTTTTATTCATAAGATTCACTGACCTGTTCGACCAATAGCAGAATTTATGAAGCATTCGGTATCATTGGTAAACTTTTATAGTTTTTGTTAATATTCTGAATGAGATTTTATTTTTATATTGTCTTGTTTTCATTTTAATTTTTGAAGTTTCAGTAATTTAGCTTTTTTTTTGTCTATATGGTTTCTTTGAGTTGTAGCTTTTAGCTTTAGTTTATGTAGTTTTAGTTATTTTAGTACTTCAACTTAAACTAAACAAAGGCCAGAAATGCTGCCTTGGCAACTAGCTGAAATAAAGTAAATTTTGTTAACATTTTATTTCAGTTAATATTTTAGCTTTAGTTAACGATAACTAACAGGAAACAAACAGGAAGTGTTTGAAAAACCGGTGTAACAAGTTTTTTTTATTTTTTTATAAGAGAAATAAAAAGTATATGTTTATTTTATTTTTAGTTTTCGATAATGAAAATGAAAAACATGTATAAAAATTTTATTTTTTGTATTTTATAACAGGCATTATAGCATATTATAACATTAATATTTATGTAGTACTTTAAAATATGATGTTACTTGAAATTTTATTAATATTAAATTATTAATATACTAATAATAATTGTTGCATGACTATGCGTTTGGTTACATGACACTTGACAGGTTTGGTAGAATATGTAAAATAGAAGAAAAGTTTGAACTATGTAGTAATTAATAAACTTTAGTGTTTATTGCAGTCCTTCAGAAAAATGTGCCGAGTCAAAATTGTGAATTTCACCAAAATACATTAGCACAACAGGGTTGCAAACCCATCATGGGTGAAAAAGATGCGACCCCTGGGAAGAAATAATTGTAACTATACTTTAAACTATTATTATTTTCAGTGTTGGGCAGTAATGCATTACTTATTAGTAATTTGATTTCTTTTTTAGTAACAGAGAAATTTAACGTGTAACAATTTCCAAAATAAAAATTAGAGTATAGTTCCAAGTCAAGGTCTCTATATGTTACCGCTGTGTTACATCATTGCCAACAGAATGCAGTGTTTTATCATCTACAGTAGATTTTAAAAAGGGTGTAGCACACGCGACGTCCTCTACCTGAGATCTACTTTGACTGGTAAGCGCCTGCGAGGCGGATACTACCAACCAAAAAAAAAACTCAGCTTGGAGAGAGAAAAGTACACTTTCTATTTTGAATTTATTTCTGTCAAAGGCAAGAACATTATTGTGCGTTGCCAATTATGTGGGGCGAAGAAAATCTTTTCAACCGTGAAAAACTCCACATCCTATTTAAAACACCTGAAAGAGCAGCACAGCACGGTAAAACTTCGAGAAAGTACTGGGCGCGGAGAGCAGTGCGTCAACTTATACTGTCGAGTCCAGTGCTAGTGGATTAGAGACCTGCATTCCCGCGGGACCCGACGCAACAGAGTGCGGCGCGGGATGAGATTTGATGGGCGGGTGTGGGTGGGTAGAGACTCGTGTGTGTGAGCGGGATGCGGGAGAATAAAATGATTCGCTGGACTCACGCAAAATAGAAATATCTAAACATAAAATATCCAAAAACAAATAAATTGTTATTCATCCATTGCACAAAAGCAACAAGAAAACTAAATGTTATAACTGAGAGATTGTACAGTTTATAACAGCTTTTAATAGAGATTATAAAGGGAGTGCTCTTTGCTCCAATTCTGCCATGCCAAACCATGCACGCAGCAGCCTATGCTTGCTTTTAGTTAAAAATAACAGTGCTTTGTGAATGTTAATGCTTTAATAACATTAATAATATTTTATGGGTAGCGTTTATGCTGGGATGTTGTGGCTAGGCAACACGAAACTTACCATTTCATGCAAATGTCATGGATGTACAGAAAAAAAGTTACGTAACTATTGATGTAACTAATTACTTTTGAAATAAAGTAATCAGAACAGTAACTTGATTACTTTTAAAAGGAGTAATCAGTAATTTAATTACATTTCCAGATTAACAACACTGATTTTTTTTTTTTTAGAGTTAAAACAAAAAAAAGATATCTACTTCATTTGTCTCAGACCACATGCAAGTTTGCATTCCTGTATTTCAGTGGTGCAGAAATTATACACTGTGAGGTGCGTGTACAAAGTGTGTGTGTGTGTATATGCGCACCTTGTGTTTCTTGCTGTAGGAGTACAGGTGGGCCAGACGATAGAGACTCTTGTAGTGTTGCGGGTAGCGACTCAGACACAGGAAGAGAGACCTCACACACACTTCCACTAGCGTTTTCCTCTGCTCTCTCCATCCCGGCGGAAGACACTTAGGCAACTCTATCACCTCCAGCGGAGGCGGCGGCTCTGGCCTGCGCTTGCACTCACTGGAGGAGCTGGTCTGGGGGTGGGGTCTGTGTGGTTGGGCGGAGTGCAGTGGCAGAGGTGGAGCTTGGGTAGGGGTGTCTGTGGTAGGGGTTTTGGGGACGGAGGCCTCAGGGGAGGTGATGGATAAGGTGGTGTCTGAAGACTCTTGTGTGACTGAAGATTCTTGAGAGAGTGTGGCAGAGCTGATATCCATGTTCTTGTCCTCCAAGGGGCCTGTGGGATTTTAGATATTGATATTTGCAGATATTGAAAAGCAATGCTTTTATTGTAAAAAGCAACAGAGTATGAATTGATAATCTACTGTGTTTAGTGATCCTGGCAAGACAGAAATTGGCTGAATTTCAGGAAAACTGTCAAGAACATGTCTGGCTTTTATTTCAATCCAATATCAAAAGAAAATGCTAAGAAATTATGGTAGCACTTTATTTTAAAGACCAGTTCTCACTATTAACTAGTCGCTTATTAGCACACAAATTACTAGTATATTGGCTGTTTATTAGTACTTATAATATTAATGCCTTATTCTGCATTAACTAATTTTAGATCCCTTAATCTCTACCCCATACTTAAACTTAACAACTACCTTATTAACTATTAATAAGCAGAAAATTAGGAGTCGTAGTTAATAGTTAATTAATAGTGAGAATTGGTCCCCATACAAAAATGTGACTGAAATTATTTTTAGATTAAAGAAAATTAAGACATTTTCAAGACATTTAAGATCATTTTACATTCAGTTATTTTTTTGAGTTATTTAATCATTTCATTTTAAAAAAAAATGAAACAAAAAACTAATTACAATATTTATATACAACCGTACAAAAGTTTGGGGTTGGTGAGTGTTTACAAAAATATAAGAATACAATATGGTAAATATTAACACTAAATGCTAAATCTTAAATAAATTTTACCACAATTAAGCCAATATAATTAGATTGTTTAACCATAATGAGAATATGACGGGAGATGTGCCTAATAACCATTAAGTATTTACTGGTTAATCTGTTGGCAGCCACCTTTATCATGATTATTATTATGATTGTAACCATGTGTTAACCAGTTCGGGAGTCACTCCTGAGCTCCACAGACAGAACAAACAGTTATAGTAACAGGGTTAAAAATTCATAAATCATAAATTATTTCCAAAACGTTGCATTAAGTACGCGTTTAGAAGAACTGGGATCAATACCTGCATCCTCTGATGTGGCCGGTTTCTCTTTTCCAGTGGCATTTGATTCTTCCGGAAAAATACTACACTTCTCAGAATCGACCTTGTGGCTGCTGTCCTGTGAGCTGGTGGCGTCCATGAAGACATCCTGCAAGGAGCTGGAGTCCGACATGCCAGCAATGCTGTCCTGACTTTGCTCTGATTTAGGGGAAAAAAAATATACCACACAATTACACTCATTCAACAAGAGCGTCCTCCTCAGTCCTTTGTAAATATTAATGTATTTAAAAACACCCTTTATTCATTTATTGTTTCAGAGTAGCCCAATTTGCACAATCCACCAATCAACACGGATCCCCAGATGAATTGTGTGATAACCTCCAATGAACACAAGGCTGGAAACATTTGCTGGATTGACAGATTTACAAATGTAGCTATTCCTGAAGAGCAGGCAGGCGTATGTTGGAACAAGGTTTTGGATTTTAACATGGAGAAAGTGAAATCAAAATTCTGTACCTGAAAACATTTGCTATCATTTTCTACAAATGAAAGGAACAGTAATAAAGTGCTGCAAAAATGAGTCCTAAAACCCGGAAACCAGTTAGAAAGTCAGTAAATTTTTGGTTAAATGCCTGAAATAAGGTCTGTATTTAACACAAACCCAAGATATGTCCATGTTTTTCTATGACATAAAATACATCAGTAATATCCCACTTGTGATTTTTTTTTTAAGATATTACGTGTCTTGAAATACGTAATTACAAGTGGGACTACAAATACTTTCTTTAACATTAAATCAAACGGGTAAACTCATCTATTCATTAGTCTGCTTTTACTGCCTTGTTCTGTTTATAATCGCAATCTTGCAAACTATTTTAACTCAAACTTTCCAATTTGTAGATTTCAACTCTTTCCCCGCCACTGACCAAATTTTCTGTTATTTATGAGATGATGCTTCCTCGCCCTTGATGTAATTTTCCATTTTTTGTGAACAAAACGTGTAAGAATCATAAACTTTTGTTGGTCACTGAGCTTACTGTCTGCAATAATCCAAAAGCCAATTGAAAAATCCTATTCGGGTTTGTAGAGGGGGAAAAAACACCTCATTACTGCAGCACTCTATTAAATGGATAGTTCACCCAAAAATGAAAATTTGATGTTTATCTGCTTACCCCCAGGGCATCCAAGATGTAGGTGACTTTGTTTCTTCAGTAGAACACAAACGAAGATTTTTAACTCAAACCGTTGCAGTCTGTCAGTCTTATAATGGAAGTCAATGGGCTCCACGGCTTTGAGAGTAAAAAAAAACATACACAGACAAAACCAAATTAAACCCTGCGGTTCGTGACGATACATTGAGGTCTTAAGACACGAAACGATCGGTCTGTGCAAGAAACTGAACAGTATTTATATAATTTTTTACCTCTGATCCACCGCAATGTCCAACTGTCCTGAGCGCGTTCACAACATCCGGCGCGTGACGTCAAATAAATACGGTCGGGCAAAAAATTCCACATTGTCTGATGATATATCAAAATCGTCTTCCATTGTGATGACCTGTACTTCTAAATATCTTTAGATCATCGCAGTGCCTGTGAACAGGTCTGCAATCTCTCTGCACTGTGTAAATAATGAGTGACGTATACGCACGACAGATCGCTTCCGCACATGTGACTACTATCATAGATATGTATAGATGCCCTATTCGACCGCTCCAGATACGTTGACGCGTCCGTCATTTTGGATCGTATCGCGGCCCATAGAAACAGTCACTAATGAGGCATCTACTAATATCTATGTCTACTAATGCCAGAGCACGTACATGCGTCACGCGCCAGATGTTGTGAACGCGCTCAGGACAGTTGGACATTGTGGTGGATCAGAGGTAAAAAAAAATTATATAAATACTGTTTAGTTTCTTGCACAGACCGATCGTTTCGTGTCTTAAGACATCAATGTATCGTCACGAGCCGCAGGGTTTAATTTGGTTTTGTCTGTGTATGTTTTTTTTTTACTCTCAAAGCCGTGGAGCCCACTGATTGGCATTATATGACTGACAGACTGCAACGGTTTGAGTTAAAAATCTCCGTTTGTGTTCTACTGAAGAAACAAAGTCACCTACATCTTGGATGCCCTAGGGGTAAGCAGATAAACATCAAATTTTTATTTTTGGGTGAACTATCCCTTTAAGCCACAAAACAAAAATTCTGTCATTATTTACTCACCCTCATGCTCAACCAAATCCATATGCTCTTAACTTTCTACTGCAGAACACAAAATGTTGTAATGTTTTGCTTCTACCTACTCTGAAAATCAATGAGGACAAACTGTTAAAAAGGGGAAAAAAGCACTAAAAAAAGTTGTCTATGACTTATATTCCAAGTCTTCTGATTTGTGAGGAAATTAAAAAGACTAAAATGTAAGTAGTTATTCACTGCTGATATTTCCTTTCACAGTAATTCTCATACCTGATTTGTACTTTTGCATATTCAAACAGATGAATGGACTTTCTCGCTTCAGCCATACAGGTTTGGAAGGACATTACGGTGAGTAATTAATGAAAGAAGTAAAATTTTTTGAGTGAACTATTCCTTTAACAGGTACAGTGGTTTTGATCCAGGTCTGAGGTCAGAGGTTACAGGGCGCATGTTTCAATGCAGTGTCGAATCAGCCTGCTCCTGAGGTAGAGCAAAGCGCTTGAAAATATTGTGCTTTTCAGCAAGCCCAGAAAATAAAGTTAATGTAATTCCTCTTGTGCTGCCCACAAACAAGCAGAAAAAGCCCCTGAGCATGCTGGGAGTGTCAGCATTTGGCACAGAGGGTAGAAATTCATTATCACACACCATCACCTCCATGACACAACAGAGTGCGATGGCAACACACCCCTCCCCTCCACCACAGAACACCAACGCACCCGCACACTCAGTGTGAAGGGGAAAAATGGCGCTGTGTCAGCGCAAATTTGCAGCTTCCTGCAGAGCGCATTAGCAGCTATAGGCCAACACTGCCAGGAGGCCCATTAGTTGGTCTGCTACAGATTTCAACAGGAGCTCAAGAGTATGTTAAAGACACAAAGAAGGTCTAGACGGGACCCGGTTATGTGCTGGGAAGTGCTGAACAGGGAAAATGACAGGCGTTTCAGTGCAGAAAAGACTGATCCGATTGAGGGGAGAAATCATCAACAGAGTAAGAGCGCTGTAATATTAATTGCACAGAAGAAAAGGGCTTTTGTTTTGAAAAGGTCAAGTGTTACTGCATAATAATCTTTGATGTGACCCACAGTAAACATTAGAACAGTGAATAATGGGGTCACTTTCCTCAAAAGCAGAGCGCACAACCAAACTATAGCTCCAATACAGTTATTGTTATTCCAATATAGTGTCAGTTATAAATGTTGAGAATTAAAACAATCAGAATAATGAGCTCAACAGTAAGGTTATTAAAGTAAAAAAAAAAAAAATCTTCAGTGTGAAACAGCTCTTAAGCATGAAATATTTTTCTAATGTAGACTTAAACAAAAATGTAATAAGTGTTTAATTGCGCATTCTCAGTGAAATTCATTAAAAATACCATATTTCAGGAGGTTAGCTACATAATGTTAGCTAAAGGCTGAAGTTGCTCTTAAGGTCCGTTCACATTAGCAAAATGTTGCTGGATAAAATGGTTGTTTATAGTGTAGCGATGTATAAAGCACAGCTCACATAGAAGTCAACATGGCAAATCTGCACAACCAAGTTGACCCCGTTATGAAATCTGCGTGGGGTGAAATCTTTAATCTATTAAGTACTGAATGATCTTTGAAATTCCAGTGAGGAAAATGGAATCCAAGCCCTATGTAAAACTAAGTGCATAGTCACTGTTGAGCTCTATGGTGTTCAGGGTTCTTGACCTTTGGACACACACCAGTTATTTATTCGTGGGGGAACTATAGCTCTGCTTTTGAAGAATGATAGGCGAGCCAGTAGTTTCGTACTATCGGTTGTGCGAGGAAGGGCGTCTGTACCATACACAGATCCTGGCCGCAAAGCAGAGAAACACTGGCAGTAGTCATGGTCACGTGAGAAGTCAGCTGTAGAGGAAATTCAGTTTAGAACACGTTTCATAACCTGGAGAAAAGTCATACAGTTGTATATTTTGTGTATCTCTGTAGTGTGAATAGAGGAGATCTTTCATTATCTGTTGTGCTGAGAAATGGGCAGCTTTTAAAGGTTATTTCTGAGTCATATTTCACCACATTTTGGGGGAAAATTGTGTTGAAAATGATGCCTCAAAGCAAAACCAGGCATCATCATCTTCGTTCAGAATATCTTTTCTTTTGATTTTGAGGTGAAATAAGACCTGCATGTGTTTATGACATTGACACATTAAGGCCCCGATATACTTCAAGCGAAATCAAAGACTTGAACTGTTGTGACAGCATTTCAAACAAAATTAAGCTGAAGCAAATGTCGTTCGTTAGTTTGTTTCGGGAGTTTGCGATCTCCGCCTTCACTGACATGCAAATCTCCAATGAATTGTCTATTTTTTAACTGAGAGGAAAACGCACATATTTACATATTCATCTAAATCCCGTTCTCGTGGTGTTGAGATTGAAAGAACAAAAAAAAGAACTTCACTGCGAGTATATTGGGGCCTTTAAAATCAACAACCATACAGAAGGAGAGTGAATTCATCAGGTCTTGAACTGTTGTATCAGCTGATAAAGACGCTAAACTCATCCACTCACCAACATTTGCAGAAAAAGCCGTTTAAGCTTCCCACTGTCTTTACCAAACCACATTATTCAGAACAACCCACAAGAACAATCTCCCTTGCACATGTGAGCCACGGCAGACACGTTGGTCTAATGTCAGTTTGCACACAGAGCAGTGCGGAGTGCATTGTGGGAAGTCTTTGTTGAATCAGGGAGCTGACCCATCATGCACCCATTAAGAAGCAGCAGGTGGGAAGCAGGTCAGAGGCAGGCAGAGAGGGAGCAGGCAGGAGGCAGCAGGGAGACAGGGAGACTAAAGCAGGCCATGGGAGCGACTGAGGAATATGGGCAACATGTCACAATGTTCACCTTTAAAAATCTGCAGCAAGCCGCTGTGGTTTCAGTGAGGCAATGACATGAGGCCAGCCACAAAAAAATGACTACTATGGTGTTCAGGGTTCTTGACCTTTGTTATTTATTCGTGGGGGAACTATAGCT